AATAAAAAATTATTCACATCTTTAATAATATATACAAAAATAATGAGTGAAATAGATAATTGTGATTATTACAATAAAAGAAAAAGAAAAAGAATATTCTAAAGAATATTCATTTGGTATAATATGGTGCAAGGGTTGGAGATGTAATAGTATTTCATACCAAAAATCAACCAATTTGGTGTGAAACTTGCACCATTTGGTGCAATGGGTTGGAGATGGTCTTAGGCATGGCATTGTTCCTTGGAATTCTGGGGATGTCCCGACCCGCCCCATATGGGGCGAGGTAACTGTTTTTTTGGAGATAGGGGCGGGGGTGGGGGCGTTTTAATGTGGGTGATGCCTTCCCCCGCCCCGCCCCCCTAGTATATAATATAATATATAAAATTAAAAATTATATATATACACTTTTCACTAATACTCTATATTTCACTTAATTACACAATTATCCTACATATAAATCCATATTTTCCCAATTTCTCTCACCCTAAACAATTGAACAAGAACAAACCCTAACTCCTATATGTAAATTTAGCTATGTTTAAACAATTAATTTAGTGTTGTCATGTGGATGAGAATTAATTTGCATTTAGTAAGCTCAATTGATTTATGTTTATGTAAAACTAATGGGGTGGGGACGGACCTCCAACATTTCCCCTATGGAGGCAAGAAAGGGAATTCTTGTCATCCCCGTAATGGGAATGAGGCAGGGCGGGGAGTGATTTTGAGGACAAGGATGGAAACGGCGGATGAGATCCCACCCCACCAGCCCTGCCCCATTGCCATGCTTATACCATATGCTTAGCCTCTAGGCAATTAAAGCATTTGATTTATCTGCCAAATCACCATCAAATTCCTGATTCTCTAAACATAACTCACTACAGAGTACCGGAAAAAATAAAAATTGTTTTATTTTTATACAGAAGAATGAATATATAAAAAGTTAATAAATTTGTTTTAAATGAAAGAAAATTGTAAAAAATAAAAAATAAAGCAAGAAGAATTATGATACTCATAATAAAAAAAAAAAAAACTTATTTACTAGAGTTTAAACTCCTCAAAAATATTTCAATACCCTAGAAATATCATTTTTCGATTAAATGTTATTGTATTCCTCATATCGGCAATTGTAAAATTTCAAGGAGCTCTTGAAAATAAAAGTTTTTCAATAAAAGAACCCTTGTAAAAACGTAAAAAATTCCATCGAAAATATGATATAATGATAATGGAAATTCATTTTCAAGAGCAAAATAAAAAAAAAATTATGATAATCAGTACTAAAAAAAAAAAAAAAAAAGCAAAAAAACCTTTTAGAGAGTTTAAACTCCTTAAAAATATCATTTTCTGATCAAATACATCGTTATTCCTCATATTGGCAATTGTAAATTTCCAACAAGCTCCTGAAAATAAAAGCTTTTCAATAGGTAAGACTTTCATTCATACGGCTCCTCCTTATGTGCATAATGAGAATAATACAAGAAATCAAAAAAGATTGAATATTCTCCTTATGAACTGGTTGGCTAATGTTTTTACAAGAAATCTCTAGCTAACATTCCTGCAAAAGATATTTTTTATAACATCGCGCGTGTTGGTACTGGACTAAATAAAATGGAAACTTCAACAATTTCTTTGTTCCAACGCCCCTTAATTTCTAGGAATTAATCACTGAACAGTCTTCGATGATTATAAGGGTATCCAAGTACGACGAGATGGATGTTTGTTATCCCAACCATTCTCTTAGTCCAATCCCGATAAGGAAAATGGAAATTTATAACAAAGTTTTCGTGTTGTTGATTCTTAGGCGTAGCGCCTCCCTTATAAAAACGTAAAAAATTCCATCAAAAATACTATAGACGATGATGAAATTCATTTTCAAGAGCTAATTCAAATAAAGACCCTTGAGGTTCCTCAAAAACCAAACAATTTTGTTCATATTTCAAATTTAATCAACGAAATTGAAATAAATAAACCAAGAACAAAAAGAAGCACTTATAAAGAAAGAAATACAAGTACAATTAACCACATCCATGAATTGTTCTAGGGCGGCACAATTAACCACATCCATGAATTGTTCTAGGGTGTACTTAGTCATCTTTCAATTATACCCCCCCCCCCCCCCCAAAAAAAAAAAGTGCCTTTGTTTACGGGAAATTAGGCTGCGGCTTCCCTTAATTCGGATGCTTGTCCTTGCCGCCCATTGTAAAATTGATTTAACTCATCCTAACGCGACCATGCTAAACAGGTTCGTACACCTACTAAACTTAATTAATTTGACTGGAATGTTAGCAGTAATTGCATTAACTCCATGGATCTGATCTCCATTGCAAAAAGATTCCATAGATCATTGAGTTCGGTGTTCGAATCAAGTAGAGTGGGGCATGTATTCATCCCTTAGATTAGTAGGAATAATAGCAAACTAAAATATCCAAATATATTATATATTAAAAAAAAATCACGTTCGTTTGATTATCAATTGTGGTGTCGGAAGTTGAATTTGTTCAATATCGTTAAATTGGTAGATTGTTATAATGTATATATGTGGTTGGGTTACCTTATCATTTGAGCTAGCTTTTAGGACTAAATTCTACTCGAGTTTGTTTATTATTCTCGTCGTGTATTTAGAGTTTTAAAATATCAAACTCAAAATATATTATTAAAATTACAATTTTTGCTAAATTTTTTAGTGGCAAAAACATTTGGGTGTGTTTGTTTTATTATTTTGAGTAGTATTTTTGAAATATTATTGTTAAGTTGAGTTGGGTTATTATTACCGGGTAGGATTTAAAAATTAACAAAAAAACCCATAGGTTTGTTAATTTAGCTAAACACCCACAATAATAAAAAGTTTATAAATTGACAAAGATACACCCATCCACCCACAGTTGCTAAATTTCAGCCACCACCACCGAATCTGACCGGAATCTTGTTTCATTGCGCATGATTGGCTATATCTGGCCGGTCGTGTGCCGTTATGACCTTTTTCGACCAGATCCACCAGAGAATAATTTTTGAAGATCAAGAATAGGCAACCTAAAAGGGCTAAAAGTAAACTAAAAATTGATCTCTTGGGTGGTACAATATGCAAATTTATTAATAGATTTTATATAAATTTGACTGGAGTGTTAGCAGTAATTGCATTAACACCATGGATCCAATCTCCATTGCAAAAAGACTACATAGATCATTGAGTTTGGTGGTCGAATCATGTAGAGTGGGACATGTATTCATCCCTTAGATCAGTAGGAATAGTAGCAAACTGAAATATCCAAATATATTATATATTAAAAAAAAATCACATTCGTTTGATTATCAACTATGGTGTTAGAAGTTGAATTGGTTCAATGTCGCTAAGTTAGTAGATTGTTATGGTGTATATATGTGGTTGAATTCCCTCCTCATTTGAGCTAGCTTTTAGGACTGAGTTCTACTCGAGTTTATTTATCATTCTCATCGTGTATTTAGAGCTTTAAAATATCAAACTCAAAATATATTATTAAAATTACAATTTTTGCTAAATTTTTGAGTGGCAGAAACATAAGGGTGTGTTTGTTTTATTATTTTAAGTAGTATTTTTGAAATATCATTGTTAAGTTGAGTTGGGTTATTATTACGGGGTAGAATTTAAAAATTAACAAAAAAAAAAAAACCTGTAGGTTTGTTAATTTATATAAACACCCCCAATAATAAAAAGTTTATAATTGATAAAAACACCCCCACTCACCCACAGTTGCTAGATTTCGGCCACCATCGCCGAATCTAGCTAGAATCTTGTTTCATTGTGCATGATCAGCTAGATCTGGTTGGTTGTGCACCGCTATGGCCTTTTCTGGCTAGATCCATCACGGATCTAGTCGGAAAAGGCCAAATTTATGGCCAAATCTAGTTGTCAACGACGACCAAAGATATGGTCGTCGTTGATGGTCAACAACGGCCATATATTAGCTGTCATTGACGGCCAGATGTGGCTATAGATCTGGTCGTCAATGGCCAGATGTGACCAAAGATCCGACCATCAACAGCTAGATCAACGCACTATCAGCCATATCCAATCGGTAGTATGCCATTACACTAGATTCTGGTCACCTTGCAGCGATGGTTGCAAGAATCTAACAAACGTGGGTGGGTGTGAATGTTTTTCTCAATTTATAAAACTTTTTTGTTGGGGGTGTTTAGTTAAATTAACAAACCTATGGGGGTTTTAAATAGTTGAATATTATAGATATGATTTTGAAAATAGAGAAACAAACATGCATTTTTTTAAGGATAAAAATAGAGTATTTTGAAAAAAAACAAAACCAACGTAGCCTATTTTGTGAATAAGAAGCATTAGGGGTGTTCAAAAGAACCGATTGGAACCGGAACCGGTGGATACCCTGGGTTTGGTTCCAGTTTCTACCCAGAACCAGTCATCAACGGGTAGGTTCCGGTTCCAAATTTTTGGAACCGTTACTGTGCGGTTCCGATTTCGGTTCCTATAGGAACCGGAACCGATGGGTACTAATAGTAAAAAACGAACTAATTTCATGTAATTTAAAAAAAAAAAAAATAAGATAGTATCTTTCGCATTGAAATTTTATATTTTTGTGTTAATTATCGTATGACATAAAAATCTATATTTAAACATGAATTTGGGGATATCCCACTTTACAATTTTTAATTAAATAAGAACAAATATTGGAAGAAATTAATTTTTTAATATGAAAAAAAGGGATTAAATAGAAGACAAGTTGTGTCAAAGGAGGGGGGAAAACCAAATCGATGGGGGGGATTGGATTTGATGATAAACTCGTTCGCACACACAAGGAGAAGAGTTAGAAAGTCAAAGAGTCAAACTTCAAAGCCCCCTGTGGCTAATTAGTTATAATTACTAGCAAAAACTACTTAAGTGTTTAATTAAATTAATTAATTATGGAAACCAGAAACCATGAGTGACTATTGCGGCTATCTTTTTCTTTCTCCATATTCAAACCTATCTGTCTATCTATATAAACACACCCTCTCTATCTTCCCTGTATAAATCCAATCTCTCTTTGTTTTCTTTTTCTCTCTCACCTTCTCCCTTTTAGCTTCTTCTCTGTGTTATCTCAAACCCCTTTTTGTTTTCAATCAATCAGTCTCTTCATTTAAGGAAAACTAATGGAAGTTAAAGGAACTAGATCATCTTCAGCTAATTACAGCAACACCTCTTCCTGTTCAACCCTTCAAACTGGTAGTACTGATGAAGATATCGACTTGAGGCGAGGTCCATGGACGGTTGAAGAAGACTTCAAGCTCATCAATTACATTGCTAATCATGGTGAAGGTCGATGGAACTCTCTTGCTCGCTATGCAGGTAATCATTTTACTTTATTTATTATTTCATCTGCTTTTTTCAGTACATACATAATCACAAAGGCAAAGAGCCAAAGAATAAGTCGACAAGTTGAACCCAACTTTTTCTCGTTATGTTTCTATCTTCATATCTGTGTGGTCGATCATAATGGACTTTTCCGTCCTTTCTCTGAAAGAGAAAGGACCCTTCACAACCATCAACAAATTTGATCAGAAGGGAAATTCGATAGGTTTTTATCAGAGTTGTTCTTTAAAATTGTACCACAGGTATTAAAAAAGCATATTTGTTGTGTGCTATAGCTTGTGTTGGATAATTCATGACCCAAAAAGTTTAAGAAAGCAAAAGCACCACCAGTTTGTGAGCAGTGCTCGTGATGATAAAAAGTCTATAGTGAAAAAAATGTCGTCTTTCTTAGATTTCCTAACATCTCTTCTCTCAAAAACTTTACCAAATTAAATTCAATGAAACAGGTCTCAAACGAACTGGAAAAAGTTGCAGATTAAGGTGGCTCAACTATCTTCGCCCGGATGTTCGACGTGGGAATATCACACTTGAAGAACAACTTCTGATTCTCGAGCTTCACTCTCGCTGGGGTAACAGGTGCAAATTTATTTGAATTATTCTTTTGTTTATGAGATTTCTAGCCTAAAGTTTAAACCCTAACGATCATTTTGCTACATCTTTAACCATCACAGATGGTCCAAAATTGCCCAACACTTGCCTGGGAGAACCGATAATGAAATCAAAAACTACTGGAGAACACGAGTCCAGAAGCACGCTAAGCAGCTTAAATGCGACGTGAACAGCAAGCAATTCAAAGACACCATGCGCTATTTATGGATGCCAAGGTTAATGGAAAGAATTCAAGCCGCAAATAAAGCTACTACAACCACCACAGCCACGACGGCTGCTGCCGCCGCCACCGGGTCCAATTCCACAGGTCTCACCACAGCCACGGTGGGTGCCGCGGCCACCACGGGACACATGATGATGCCGCATATGGGACTCAACAATATTAGCAATGAGTTTGGCGGTTCACATGTTACACCAAGTTACACTCCAGACAATTCAAGCACGGGGGCCTCGTCGGACTCGTTTGGAACCCCGGTTTCGGATTTGACTGATTATTACACTATTCCGGTCAGTAACAATCCAAATCCGGATTATTTCCTAGGCGTTAATAACCAAGTTTATTCAGAGTGTTTAATCAGTCCGTCGGGTTACTTTAATCCTGGAATAGAATTCCAGGAGATGGAGCCAAACAACAATCAATTGCTGGACGGTGGGGTCGATGCATCGGACAATTTGTGGAATGTTGAAGACATATGGTTCTTACAGCAACAGTTCAACAGCAACATGTGAAAAATTAACAGAAATAAATGTGGGTGAAAGTGAAATTTTCTAAAAGTATAGAGAGATATTTTTATATATGGGAGAACAAAAAAATAATAATTTAATTTTAACTAGGACAGTCAGTTATTACAAATTTGAGATAGCCTAAGTTAAGATAGACAGACAGAAGTCTAATTGTGGATTATTATTGTGGATTATTTGTAATTTTCTTATTTTGGGGGGTTGAATTTGTAATTTGAGATTTTTATCAATCTCATTCTTTGATATATATTAAAGAAATTGACTCTTTTTAATTAGTCATATTTTATTAGTGCCTTGCATTATAGAAGCATGTCTTTAGATAAAATAAAATAATGATAAGATTTGAATAATTGGTTCCACCATATAATTTATATATACTAAGATGTCATTATTTTAACAGTTATGATTAGAATAAGTGTAATCTAAGTCATGCTACTTTTGACAGCTTTGGCTATGGGGCATGAACTTATAGATTAATAAAGTACCAAAGTTTCTAGATCATAAAAAGTGAACATAAATTTCATTTTATTTTTTTCTGAGACGTGGAGCTCTAGGATTCATCTATTTTTAACTTATACTATATGATCTTATCATCTTAGAATTTCAGATCATTCTTGCCACCTAAGTACAATCTTAAAACTCCCTAAATTCCTCTTTTGTTTGCTTCTACTCGTACGGACATTTTTATAGCCCCATTTAACCGGACAATTCTTATTTTATTTTTCTTATTTTAAAATTAAATTACTCATTAATAATTTATTATTATTATTTTTTAAATATTTTTGGTGGTATTTGGTGAGTGGGATTGTGGGAGTTACGAAAAGGGATTGAAAGTCTAAGAAGAGAGAGGCTGTCACGTGCGAAGAGAGCAAAAAAGAGAAATAAGCACGTGACAGAATAGTAGAATGAGAGAGAGAGAGAGGGGTATGGTTATGGTATGGCGGCGGGGAATCTTTGTAGGCCGCGTGCCTATAAGAGAAGCCACCGAGGTGGTCCCAAAGGTAAAGTGTTGAGAAGACGACACGTGGAATCTATAAAACATTAAAATATTGTTTTTTAAATGGGTTTGATTAGGCTTCCTAGACTCAAACACGTAGATTAGCCGCAACTCTTGAATCAGCCGTTTGCGAAAAAGTCCACGTAAGACTTACAATACATCTTTACAAATACATAACAAATATTTTTATATACTATTTCTACATTTATACTATAAAAATAATACAACCTATTTCGAATTAAGGGATTAATAAATTTGACAGACATTTATTAGCTTTATGGAATTTAGTAGATATGTGGGTCCTGGTTAGACTGGTTAAACCAGTCGGACCGGACCAGGTGTTAAAATAGTATTAAATATCATATAGAACTATATATATGATATTAATGTTTAACCGTTTAACTCATCAATAGGTTTATTTATGTATGAAAAAGTTTTTCATATGCTATATTTAGGGATCTATGTTGAAATTCAGTATTTGATCCAAAATAGGGGTTTGATCTTAACAATATTTATAAATAAATTTACACAAATCTTAGTGAATTTGAATTTATTAAATTAGTTATTTATACAATCTTATTATTAAATTTATTCAGAAGATAAACGAAAGAAAAAACCCAAGAATTATAAATGTTTTTATATTAAAAAAAGAAAAAAATTAAATTAAAACGAGTGTACCACATTGTTCTTATGTTCATCAAATAAAAATCAATCACGTATGTACTGATGTTTAAAATATTCAATTATAATTGGTGGTTGACAGATAAAAAAAAGAAAAAAAAAATATGTTTGACATGTTTGAACACATATATAAATATTAAAATATGTTTTATATTATCAAATAAATAATAAATTGAGAAGTCAAAATATATATATTTTTTATAAAAACATAAATACAAAGTTCCGTAGAGATACGAAAAGAATGTCCAACTGGAGTCCACAACTAATATTGCCAAAGGACTTTTATCTTTGAGCCACGTGGAGCCTCGCGATTTCATAATTATCATCTTCCCTTCAAACTTTCTAACTTGATATTCGGGTGGAGGCCCCTGCATTCCAAGAGTGAAGATGACTACACAGTCAACAAGTGTAGCCCATCCAGTCCCACGCCAGAATCCCCACGTGGTGGCTGATGAGACCGTCTGATGAGGAACCTTAATCGATATGTGAAGTGGGTCCGTGTAAATTTATCTGAAAAGTGGACGGCTAGCCATTGTCATCTTTTCCATTTTCGTTTGATTCAGGCAGTGAGCGAGCGAGCGGTAATAATGAGAAAGCAACAGTTGAGAAACTTTCTTACCTTGTATGTATCTCTATTTGATTATGAGGCTCAAAGATGTGCATGTGCTTTAATGTTTTTTATATGTGAAAAGCATGTCTTTTTCCTTCCATGGCTGAAAAGAAATCAGAAGTCATTTTTCTTTATTTGCAAACTAGTTACATGTTTACATGCAATAGCGGATCCATAATTTTTTTTTGGATAGGTCAAAATAAAAACTAATTACATATTAATATTTTTGTTAGAGTAGACAAAAATCCAAAAATTATATATATTAGTATTTTGAAAAAAAAAAAATTGAGGATGGGCCATGTGGGCTGCATCCGTCCCTGTTTACGCGTGATTTTGATGCTAAGGACTCACACGTGTAAAGTGTTAAGCTCTTTTTAGAAATTATACGTGAATGATTCATAAGAAGTGTTTATGGTACTGAGATTATATATTTACTGAAACATAAATAAAAGATTGGTAAGAGAGATTTTTATAGCGGTTCGGATGCTTAAAGCGAATCTTACATCCACTGTTATTTTATTATTCTTTGACTATTTTTCTGATATTGCCTGTAAAACATACAAAGAATGGATAAATATTTTGTTTACAAAGAAAAATAATGAAGTTCAAATTTGTACGCAGCTCACATATACCTAACCTCTTCTTTTCATGAAGAGAGGTGCTCGTTTATACCTTTGAAGTCAATGTAATGAGTGTTTTTGCAAGTTGTCTTGACATGGGAACCACTCTTTAATCCTTATCTTAAAATGGGATATGATTGATATAAAATATCTCTTGGAGACGGTTTGGGTTTTTGACAACTAATACCACATTATCTTTAAGCGCTTGTTGAACTATGATTGATGATGCTGACATTAGTGTGTATTTTTTGCACAACACACACACACACACTCTATATATATATATATATAGTAGCAGACCCAGGATTTTTACCAAGGGGAGACCTCCGCGGCTCCGCCATTGTTTGTCAAACAATTAGTGAAAACTTTAAAAAATTATCAAACATTACGCAAAGAAAATAATACAATATCAATAACCTGAAAAAAATGTAATAACACGATACTTTCCTACTTGAATAAATCTATGAGAGGCAAAATTTTGAGAAAATGTGTTGAGTAAACTTTGAACAAAACCTTCTTTTATTTTATTTTTTTAATTTTTGGCTTCCAAAGATTATACAATATAAATTTTCATGACTTTGATCAAACCTAGCATTAGCAAAAGTCAACTAAAACTTAAATCAAGTCAACATTGTGTTAACTTTTAATATGAATTAATAAAATAAGGGGGAATTTTCTTGGTATAAACATAGATAATAACTCAAATTTCTTTAATAATTTTGAGCAACTGAACGGTGACATTTGAAATGTAAGAAAGTGGTGGGTGAAGGATAAAAAATAACTTCCTTTAAAATATAGTTAAAGTTTTAATTTGGAAAAGTAAGAACATTCTTAGACACGAAATACATAATAAACTCATAAGATACATGTCTTTTCTCTCAAATTATAATAAAAAATCTCCAAAAAACAAGCATGATTCAACCCCAAAATAAACTAAATTAAAATGAGCAATACACATACCTAAAACTGATAAAACAGAAAACGGAGCTAATTTTAGCACCTTGAGTAGTTAAGGCTTCAACAATTTTAAGAGGGAATAGCATGAGAAAGAGAAAGAGAGGATGAGAGAGTAAAAAAATTTAAGGATAAAAAAAAAAAAAAAAAAATTTGGTGGTGCTGTGGAAAAGATGAGTAGAGAGAGATTTAAACTTTTTATATGATCTATGCTTGGAATATATATATTAATAACAAGTTTTTTGTAGGCCTGAATATATGTATATATACACGTTAAAATCAACGTCTCAGGTTCGATTCTCCGTTCAACATTAAGAAATAGTGTAGGAGTGCATAAACTAGTTCAAACACACACACACCCCACACTATAACATATGGGTTAATTGAAGTATTTAACCCACTCAAACTTAAAAAAATAAAAATAAAATAAATAATAAAATAAATTATATTTTATGGTATTTACAATTTGGACACCAGTTTAATTTTATGGAGTCCCTCAAACTTTGAAAAAATAAAAAAAATGCTTTATATTTTATAATATTTATAATTTTAACCCTACACATTTTTATTTAAATTTATCAATTTAAATGTTTTCAACCCACTAGTGTAAATCCTAACTACTATATATATATTCTTCCATCTCCGTACTACCCTATTCTTTTAGCTTATATTTAAAGTGCTTCCACATGCTTCATTTTCATATCCACACAATTGTTTTGAGTGGATGTCTTACACCGTACACTAAATTCAATCGCCAGAAGATCTTGTTACCATAAATAGCACAAGTTTTCTACATCATGATAAAAAGATCCATCATAAGTTTTTCCACAATGTGACACCATTAGATCTTAAAATCTTATCCTCAGTACATGTTCAACGATTTTTAATAACATTGAATTAATTATAATTAAAAGCAATAATAATGCTATTTATACAAAGTTGAAATCAGTACCATGTTTAATTGTTTTCGATGTGGTAAAAGATTTACTTCCTTATAATTAGTATAATACTGCTGACATGTCATCATGTATGCTCATTGCAGCATTCCGAAAACTCTTTGAGAACCAAATAAAGACGTATAAAATTGATATATTAAAGATACCCACATGATGAATTAGGAAAATTTTGTCAGAAATAGAAGTTAAAACAGTTACGCATAAACTGAAACCCTAATTAGTAAATGATATAGAAGGATTTGCTATCAGATGTACTTTATATNGGTGCCATTCGCTGTCACTGACTCACCGAGTCATCTTCATCTCTATTCTCTGCAGACCAGTGATTTCATTCCAGTAATCCAGCCTTCCAGGTAAGAAATTTTATTTATTAGTCTTTGGATACATTCATCTTTATGTCTACAATGACTCTACATTAATGGCAGTGAAGTGAGTTATCTTCTCTTACAAACATTTG